TATGGATGATTCCCTTTGGATTGCATCAAACAAAGAGTCACTCACTAAAATCCTTCACATGGCCTCCTTCTTCTACAAATTTGCCAGTATTAAAGTCAACCCACACAAATCCATTCTAGCAACAAACTCAACAACTCCAGATAAATCTATACTCTTTGATAATGAACAGTTAACAGCAATCAAGAATGAAACACCTTTTAAATATCTGGGTGCCTGGTTCTCAACAAGTGGAAAGCTGATATCGGTACAGAAGAAAATCATTGCAGAAGCTACAATTAACCTAAAAAAGTTACAATTTGCCCATATAACAGAGAAACAAGCAATCTATATAATCAATAATATCATTACTCCCCGCCTCCTTTATCGCTTATACTCCTCTTTTCTCTCAACTTCACAATTGAGTACTCTTAACAAGACTTGTGTCCAACTGGTCAAAAACAAAGCAAAGCTTGCACGAGGGGTCCCTAACTCCTTCATATTCAATCCAGACATTTACGCACTAAACAATTTAGCCCAAGCCCAGCTCTCATCCTTAGTTCTAACTTTCTAGAAGAACTTAAACCATGTTGATTTCGATTCATCCTTCTTAAAGCTGTATTTGCAACAACTACAAGACTCTGCGAACACCAATACCTCGATCCTTCTACAACTTTCAGTATTTCCAACCATACAAGTACATACACAAACCTGCCAAATGATACTAGCTTTGCACTCACTCAACTTATGCAATGGGGACAACTGGCCTCTTCCAAAAGATTTTACTGGCACCCCAATAAATCAGATAATCATAAACCACTCCAAAGCCTCATACCTTAAAGAGAAGCTAAACAACCACAATGTATATAGTGTTGAATAATTTTTAAATACAACCAATACTAGATTCTTAGAATGGAATGACTTCTACCATAATATTAAGAAGATACCTAGAGAACGGTGCCCCTGATGGTTCCATATAGTTCAAGACCTAATAGCAGCATCAGAAAACCCATCTGCAGCATCCCTACACTCAAACCCACATACTTTGGACAACTGGACCCCTAGCAAGAAAGGCTGGATAATCATAAACAAGTTGGTTGTTGGAAGAACAACATACAACTCCTCTAATAAAACCTTCAAAACCCAATACTACATCCTACAACCAGACAAAACACTAATTGCCTGTCAAGGCTGCAACTTAAAAAACCAATCCTACTACTCTAAAAACTGCTACTTCAATGCAATAAAACCTTTCTATAACCTGCAAGTAGACTGCAAGAAAAGAACACACTTAGATTTAGCAGACCTCAGAGAAGCGATAAGCCTAAACTCTGTATGAACATCCCAGAGTCTCTCGATATCCAATAAGAAAACACTACTGGCCAGACCTCTCTGTGCCTTCATAGATCCCCCTATTCCGCTTTGGGGTCAACTTACAAAAACAAACTTTAACTTAAAAACCTTAACGCTTTACATGACAAGTATCAATCAAACAATAGGAGACAACTGTCACATAGTTGCAAAATGCCATCTTCAAAATATTCACGCCCCTTTCAGTTGTTTTACCAACTCCTGGCTTTCACATCTTCACTCTCTACTTACTCTACTGAACTTCGTCTCACAACAACAAACCTATGCACTTCTGTCAAGATCTATACAAACAATGATTCCTTCGCCAACCTAATCAATTTGACATACTCGGTGGTACCACATAACTACCCTATACTAAACAAGCAACATTTCACATACCTTCTACTAATACTAAAATCCTTAACCTATGACCGAGAACTTAACATAATCTTCGACAAAGATGTCAAGATTCAAGAAATCGCAAGTCCTATTTTTCCTTTGGATCCTATACCCCAGGACTTCTTATACAACCGTTTCGTGCCAAAACTTCTTGGCAATCCTTGTATATACCTGTTAAAAAACACATTAAAATATGTACACCAAATTACCAACCGCTTAACCTGGTTTAATCAACAACAAATCTCTAGCTGACACAATGCTCAGGGAAACATTAACTGGGAACAAACACTACAATATATCACGTTTGGCGAGAGACCGCTAGCACTATATACCGACCCATCATCCTTGACGATAAAAAATTTCAAAATTAAACTTCTATCAGAAGAACTACCTGTATATCTTTTACTCTACTTGAGAAGCGCTATGAAATATCCTGACTACTGTTGTCCTCGGTGCCTTAACAGGCCAGAAGATATTGCCCACCTCCTAACCTGCAGCCAGAATCATCTACGCCTCAGAACTTTAATTACTCAGGCCGTACAAGAAACCTCCTGCACCCTGGAAATCCCACACTTTTGTTTGGATGACTTCACTCAGGCCTTCACCAACCTTCATACTGTCAAAAAGATGCCCCTTGGGCTGATTACAGATGAAACCCTAGCTCCCTTCGAGCAAAATAAAGACAAATAGAAGTACACAGCTTTGATCCATTATAATATCATAACAGCAATATACAAGAAGCTATGGATAACTTCCCAGATAACACAACATAATCTGATATTTCAGCCACCTCCTCCATTACGACCTCCCACAATGATGAAGACTAATCCACTTAACCCCACTTTTTTAAATAACAAGATCCACCAATATATAGCTAATGGACAATTTTCTCTTAACTTCTTGCTCAAAGACTAGAGGTCTCCAACTATTCTAGCAAAGAATGGATCAATAGTAAACTAGCTCTTACCTTTATTTCCCTTAAATATAGTTTTATCTTCATGTACTTCGTTTATATGTATATTCAACTATTAAATAAAAGAAATAGAGGATAGACCTCTCTTTAAAAAAAAAAAAAAAAAAAAAAAAAAAAAAAAAAAAAAAAAAAAAAAAAAAAAAAAAAAAAAAAAAAAAAAAAAAAACAAAAAAAAAAAAAAAAAAAAAAAAAAAAAAAAAAAAAAAAAAAAAAAAAAAACTGAAGATAAAGATCATCTTATCAAATTTAATGAATATAAAATCTTATTAAAGATGAAGCAAGTCAAGAAGGCTTAAAAATATTTCAAAAAAAGAACTTACAAATAAAAAAAGTTAAAGCTTTATTTTTTAAAAAAATTTAAGAAAAAATAGAAATAAAAAGATATAGTTGTATCTGAGTTATATCTCCACTGGATTATATCTTCTCTTATTTGTTGCCTTAGTTATATCCTATATTTAAACAGAATAAAAATTTTTTTTTATATATTTTATATATTAAGTTATATCTTAACCTTAGTTATATCTTCAAAAAAATTCAAAAACATAAAAAAAAAGTAGTGATATAACCCAGATACAACTGTATTTGATAAGAAGCTTTATAATTAAAAAAAGAAAAGAAGAAATCAAAAACAAGATTGAAAATAAAAGTATACTATAAAAGATACTTGATATAATTAAAAAAGTTTAATAAAAGGTTTCAAAAGCATATCTGAAACTTCAAATATAACTAGTTAATAATTAGAAAAAGAAAAACAAAATTATAAATAAAATCAAAAAAACAAAAAAAAAACAGTACAAAAGACCTAAAGTTCAAGAAAATAAGATCACAAAAAAGAAAAAAACAGACCCAAAAAGAAAAAGGAAAGCAAATCCTAAATCTAACACAAGAAAATAACTAAAACTTAGTTCAATATCATATTAAAATATTATAAAAAAAGATAAACAATACTAACAAGGTTTGCAGCCCCCAGCTCATAATCAAAGAGGCCTAATCCTCAGAAAGTTAAGGATCCAATATGAAGCAATTGGCTGCTTAGGCAGGTTGCATTTAGGCTTTGATACCAAGTGAGTTTTTATTATTACAGAAATACAGCATAGTATAAAAAATTATGTTTAATATAAATAAATATAATAAAGGCAAGATTGCCAAAACATTAATTTTGTCAAAAATAAAAACAAATCACATGCTTTTACTTGAGATTAGTTAGTTTTACAAAATTATTTAACCAATCATAGTTTAGCAAATTCAATATAAAGTTTAAAAATTTTAATCTTAAAAGATAATGTATAATTTATTTTTTTTTTAATCTTCAAAGATAATGTATAATTTATTTTTTTTTAATCTTCAAAGAGATAATGTATAATTTATTTCTTCGGATATTATGAATATATATATGTATTGTAATTTTAAAGAATCTTAATAAAACACCAATATAACTACTTATTTATAAAATTTCTCTTAAAATATCTATATTAAATAAAGATATTGAAAAAGCACCACAAACGTTACGCAAGAAAACCATCGTGAAACGATGCTTCGTGACCCAAGAATCGCACGACGATTCCCCTGCAACAAGCAATTAGGAATTTTACGTTAAAATTGTTTTCTTCAATTATCATTGTATCTTAATTTTAATTCAACATGTTGATTTTACTTTTTAATAGTGATTTCTAACTAGACGGCGACTATTGATGATATAACTAGTTATGCAATGAATATCGATAATATGAACGATTCATTTTATTTAATTAATTGTAGAATTAATAATCCGTGAATATAAATGGGTTATATATATAACTGGGTTACAATTTGATAACGTGACTGATAAGTGACCAGGAAACGAATATGATGAGTTATTATTACCTTTTATTAAGAGTCGTTAGAAGCTTAATACGTATAATTATTTAAGTCATCAATTACAAAAAAATTTATCGTGACCAGCATCAACTGTCTGTCTGTGTTTAAAAAAGAATACGTAAGTAGTCAATAGATCCAATGGAAATTACTAATCATGACAGAAGGTCTAAATCATATTTATAATGCATAAATGTGATGGAGTTGCGTCATTGTCGCATCACTGTAGGAATCAACGCTTGTCATAGCATAATCTTTAAATTATTTCGTTGATCCTATTTTTGCTGATTTCATTCGTTCTGTCAGATCGCAAAGGTTAGTTAGTTAATAAAATTGGTGACGCCTATAAATATTGATTAACTTCTTATTCACGTAAAGAATTTTGCTTTCTTATCCCCTATGTTTACGCTAAGACGAATTGATATGTTTACAACTCGCGGTACGACAGGACGATCTATTTTGGATCATGATATCAAAAGAATTACTCGTAGTGTCTCGAATCATACGGATCTACCTCAACCATCATCAATTATTTTAAAGCAAGAACGTGTTGTTTCATCCATGGAAATTGAAAATTCACGTCAATCAGTTTCGGAAATTCGAACCGTATCAAATGTTCATTACTTTAAGGATCAAGATCTTAATAAGCAAATTACTGATAGTGTTCGTCATGAAAATGGTAGTGGTGATGATTCTTATCTTGATGATACTGAAGAAGAACTGGAAGAGGAAGTTGCTGTCGGTATGGCTTACATGAATTCAACAACGAGAATTCCAATCAAGGCGGGTGAATCATCCACCAGCCCTAAAGAAAAGGATAAGCCAGTGATTACTGAACTATCTGATGATGTTATGGAAGGTTTAATGGACTCGGATACTGCAGTAATTCTTGATTCGTTGGCACCTTCTGAAAATCGCGGTGATGTAGGTGATTTTGTGATAGGTGAATTTAATGACGTTGAAAATAATCAAAATGTGAATGAAAATGATTTACGAGTGGAAGAAACCACTGGTGATAGAGAAATGGCGCGGAAAGAATCAACGGCGAATAAGTTAAAATATGCGGATGATAATACCAAAACAGTTTTACGGAGCGATTCTTGTGCCAGCGAGACAAATAAACTTCAAGAAAGAGATGAGCAAAGTTCCGGAGAAGCAACAAAGATAATCGACTTAAATCAAAAGTTCAGGGAAAAAATCGAAATGGTAGCTTTTTGTCGCACTCTTAAATTCAATTAAATTAATATATGATATTAATTTTTTTTTTTCTAATTTTAAATTAGATCGAACAAGCATTTATTGATGGTACAAGAAACTCCACATGAAACGGATACAAATATTTCACTAGATACCGATGAATCTCTTTCGGCTCCACCAAGTCAAAATGCAATCCTCACACCT